TAAATGTTCTCATGAAATAAGTCATATGTAGAGCTTAATGTGTTTTATTAATGAATACAAAAAAACACTTAATAACAAAACCCTAAGAACTTTTACATTTAATACCTAAAATCAGAAATCTAGCTCCAAACACCAAATTTATATAAAAACATTTTTTACTATGTTTTATCACAAAAGACAAAAACAGTATACCCTTTAAATTTATGCCATCTAGTCTACTCAGCAATTTTCTTTTAGAGAGGAATCTGCACTTTCTGCTTTTCACGAGTTGACAGTTGGCTCATTTAGGCTAAACTATTCTAACACTGCAGCATATCCATTAATACTTCTCATTAACGTTCCTCAAAGTCAGTTCATCTTTTTGCGAGTTCGCTGTTACGCTGTCTTAACACTTCACACTTCCTGTGTGAAGCTGACACCCCATCAATGTCAAAAAAAAAAAAAAAAAAAAAAAAAAATCCAGCAAATAGTCTGCGTGATTAGTGCTCTTGTGCAGGTGTGTGCCGATAAAATTTCGTTTGTGCAGCTTTCGTTTTCGAGATATTAAAAGTTATAATTTTGGCCGATGATGTCACCAGCCTCCCATCTTGCTCCAGAACAAACCCAAAGTGGGCTATTTCGTTAGTTCTATTTGTGCAGGTTTGTGCCGTTAAAACTACTGCAGCGAAGTTGTTTTCAAGTTGGATATTGGATATTCGCGCTCCGCGGAGTGAGCGGCGCCTAGCTCAAGGTTGATCCGATTTATGAATGTTCACTTAGGAACTGTCAACAAATTGCCGAACCAAACACTCCTAAGAAAAAAATTTAATAGATATCTTGTCTTGTGACCAACTGACACAAAATTCACAAGACGCACTGTTCTCTAGTGAATTTTTAAGTCATACTCAATATTTTTAATAATTGTAATATTAAAAAGTTTGTATTTTTTTTCTTCAATAGTTTCCCAACCATGTGCCCTATTCACTCAAAATCAGTGTGAAACTGTTCTTCGAGACTGGAGAGATGAGGTACACTAATTTTTATTGCATTTGAACATTTTTGATATTATTTTAGCATTTTTTTGTCAAAATGTAGTATTTTTTCTTCTATAGCTTCTGGGTCATGTGACCCATTTACGCTGAATCAGTGTGGAATTGTTCTACTGTGAAGATGAGGCCTGCGACAGACTGGCGACCTGTCCAGGGTGTACCCCGCCTCTCGCCCGGAACGTTAGCTGGAGATAGGCACCAGCACCCATCCCGACCCCACTGAGGGACAAGGGTGTTCAGAAAATGGATGGATGGATGGATGGATGAAGATGAGGCACACCTAGTTTTATTCCATTTAAACATTTTATTCCTTGTCAGTGGGACATGTAAACTTTTATAAAACAATCGTATTTCTTAAATGTAAAATTACATACAAAATGTAAAAATATCTAAAATGGGGACGCTATTGAAGAAAAAAAGTAGTAGTATGGAATAAAACTAGGTGTGCTTCATCTATGGCGTTTTGGGCTGGTGACGTCATCGGCCAAAATTATAACTTTGAATATCTCGAAAACGAAAGCTGCACAAAATTTCCTCCAGCAATACTGGAGCAAATTTTAACGGCACAAACCTGCACTAACGAAGTAGATCACTTTGGTTTGTTTTGGGGCCATATGGGGGCACGGTGAACTCTGGATGTCCTAAAAAATAATTTTTAATATCTCAGAAACCAAAGCTGCACAAACGAAACTTTCATCGGTACAAACCTGCACAAACGGTGCACTAACCACTAAGATTATTTGCTGGATTTTTTGACGTGGGTAGGGTGTCAGCTTCACACAGCTGTCTTAGCGTCGCTGATTTGAGGTAGAAAAAACCCACACATATTTCTTTCTCCGTCCGGTTTGGAGGAGGGTGGGGTTTAGTGCTTCTCTTTCCTCACCAACTCCCGAGCCGTACACTCCGCCTTTCTGCCCACGGGGCCGAGCTTCCTTTCCCGGATTCAATGATTAAGATACACTCCCTGTATCAATTAGATAAAGTTTTAAGGGCTTTTATAAAAAGTTTAGAACACAAGAACTGCTGTGAACCCGGATACAGTCATGACATCTGAGACGTTCGTGCCACGTACATGGAGCGCACGGCTCCAACAGCTGCCTGGACATAAACCTCCGAGCTCCGACAACAAAGAGGAAATGTGACTCGTCAGCGCAACAGTTAGTCTGAGTCACGCAGTTTTAGCTACGGGGGATTAATAACTTCTGTCTGTGTCTGACGTGTGTTTTCACCGTCGCGTTGACTCACGGACAGACGCATTCAAGCTCATCTACCGGGACATCTGTCTCCGAGTCTGCTGAACACTGCAACTGCCGTTGTGAGGAGCGGGGCCGCGGCCGGGGTTCTCCGGCCCCTTTCAGGTGAAAGGCGTGGTTCTGGGAGGGAGCGCTTTGTTCAGCCTACACCTGACTGAGAGATTCAGTTACCCGAGCGGTCCGGGTTGAGCTGATAGCTGCTGTTAGCTTATTAAAATTCTAATAAATGGATCAGTTTAAAAAGCAAATCTAGGGTCACTCGGACTCTGTGAACCGTAATGACTTATAGCACGTATTTGAGTCTTGACCCCTCGGACCGACTAGAGGAAACTGGGTCAGACTAGTTTTAGTGCTTATCTGTTCATTTTAACTGGGAGGTCATGGCGCTGTCTCAGATCCAGTGCCTGGATGATCACCATATCAACTGGCGCATTAGCGAGAGCAAGCCGGAGTTTTTCTACAGCGAGGACCAACGACTGGCCCTCGAAGCTCTCATCACCAAGGGCCGCGATGCGTTCACGGACTACATCCAGAAACACGAAGTCCGGGAGTTCCTCTCGGAAGGAGAGCTGGAGCGTGTCACGCGCACCGCGGAGGCGTACCGACCCGGGTACGAACACCACCAGAGGCCAGAGACGCCAGGGCCGGGGAATTTGACTCCAGGGTCCGGGGAAGAAGCAGAAGACGGGGAGGTGTCTCTCGCATATTGGCCAGACCGGTCCGAAGCCTCGGTGGCGGAGTTGGACCTTGGCTGGCCTGAAGCCATCTCATACCGAGGGGTCACACGCGTGACCGTGTACACGCAGCCTCCCACTGAGGGTCACACGCACATCAAGGAGGTGGTTCGCAAGAGCATTGCATCAGCCCAGAAGGTAGGTGATAAGGAGGAAAATGGCAATAATAATGATTTTATTGGTAGAAGGTAAAAATAATGGAAGTTTTCCTCCAAAAACAGAATATACACATGAGCTAAATCAGGATAGCTAGAGACCCAAAATGCAGCTCAGTGATTCTTGAGAATAGGGACAAAATGGGTTTAAATTTTCCCAATTTTTTAAAAATTATTTCTCAACCCTGTGTATGCAAATATGACAACTAATGATTTGGAAATGTAAAGATGCTAAGGTGCAGGCTCCCAGTTGCAACATAAAAAAAAAATGTAATCGATCTGACTCAGAACTTTGTCATCACCATCTGACAAAAATAAATATAAAATAATTCTTTAATGACCGTATTAGTGATATTTTTACTCAGTTTTACAGACAAATGCTTCTCAAGAAACAAAAGAAATATTATTTAAAACAAGAACCAACAAAAAGTCCATCTGACGGAGTTGACACAGAACTGAAGGTGGTGACAAACTAGTGAGTAAAATGAAAAACTTGACACATGTGAAGTAATGCAATTTATGTAAGATACATTAAAATTAATTGCACATTTAAGTGAGATTTCTCAACAATTTCACTGAAAGAGTCAAAAAAACTGATGGAGTTGACGAAATGTCAAACCACCTCAATTTATATGATGTTATTCTGAAGGAGGTCATATTGTAGCTCATCAGATCCATCAAATCTTTACATTGTACCAAAATTAAGCTTTTATTTCACAAAATTTCATCAAAGTTTTGTAAATTGTCAGTTATGGAGTTGACACATCATGGTTGTGACAAGCACCTTAGGAATAAAACAGAAGAAAAAACTAAAGAATAACTTAAGCTAACCAGAGCTAACTAGCCTCTTGAGAAAGGAAGAGGTCATGGGGTCCTCAGAAGTTCTGGTGCCCCCCAATAATGCCTGATATTTTTTTTACATTCTTTTAATGTCTGACGGTGTTGACAAAAACTAGGGACAAATTTCAATTGAGTTGGAAAATATATAAAAAAATATTTTTAATTCAATTTACTGATACTTTTATAATTATTTATATGAATACTTGCACTTAATTGTCATAATATATTATCTTAGTATTTCTTTAATTGTTTAAACTATTATAATGTATTGAGTTCTGCTCCGGGAGGAGGGATTTTAAAGACATCATCCACCGACTACTATGTTTAAAATAAAAAAAAATATTCAGCAAACACAAGGAAAATATACATTGTTGTGCTCACATGACCCAGGTTAGTTTAGTCAGATATTTGAAAAAATTATATTTTGTGTATATTTTATTCAAATTTTGTGCTTCATCCATAGGACCTGTTTTGTCCCTATTCTCAAGAGTCACTGAGCTAATATTTCTTGTGAAACAATAAAACACAGTGCATCATGATTTTTAAACCCATTAAACGATATGTTCATTTTGTCTTTAAGCTAATCAAATGACATTTTCTTTGATGCACATTGTCTTGAGCTTATTAAAATTAGATCAAGACTAGAGATGCATACTATGATGATTAATTGAGGATAATCTTGTAAAGGATTGTAAACTCTATGGCTCATTGGTCAAAATAAGCTAAGCTTAAACTCAGTTCAGTGTAGCTTATAGCTTAATAAACTAAATGATTAGTGTTTTTAAAAAAATAATGTTTATCATTTTTAGCAAGTGCTATGTTAAGATAGAAGACTGATGATTTAACTTTATAAGGAGGAAATGCCAAAAAGGTAATCACTAAAGAATCTAACGTTCATATTTATGATTTATTGGTTAATGTCAAGTTGTCATAACAGACATTTTGAATAATGTCAACTTTGTATTAAAAGTGTCATAATTTACCGAATGACGCTTTATGACAACAGTCATAAATATTCATGAAGACTTATTGATGTTCATGACAGGTGTTATGTCATGTTTATGACAGTGTCATGTCAGTCTTATTCAACCCCCTTCAAATAAAGTGTTACCTGACTTTTCAGTTTAATTCTCACCATCTGCCACAATTTTCTGTCTCATGAATTTTGCTTCGCCCCATCCATGTGCCACCCCTAGACACGCCTACAGTGTTTTATTGAGACAAGTGTGAGCTTGAAGTGTCAGTGGAAAGAAATGCACTTGCGTCACTGAACGAGTTCACATGCCTGCACAATGTACATCACTTTTACCTTAGTTACTCATAAATCTTTAGTCTACAAAAGAAGCGAGAACCATTAAAATAATTGGACTCGGTTCAAAAATCATAAGTTCCTACTGATTGATTCATTTTCCAATTAATCTAAGAGAGGCAGTGCAGTATCGTTGGCAGATCTTTGGCAGAATAATTATAGTCATCTTGATTATCTTGTAGCTGTGCAGTTTTAAGCTTCTAGTTTGGTTAAGTCAATGGGACTGTTGTTTTTGTGCAGCAGAGGAACACAGTGTCCAGTCAAGCAGCATTTTATCACCTCTCTGCAAAACATTTTTTTTCTCTAACAGTCATCCGACAACACCTGTACTTACTGGACTGGAATAAATTTTTTCTTAATTTATTGTTAGATTCTCCAAAATTAATGGGTTTAATATTGTTGATATCAGTCTACTGTTATCAAACTGAACCCACCCTTGGAACAGGAAACGCTAACAACTTCTGGTTTCCTGTGTGTGTGTGTGTGTGTGTGTGTGTGTGTGTGTGTGCGCGTGTGCGTGCGCAGGTGATAGCTGTGGTGATGGACGTGTTTACAGATGTGGATATCTTTCGAGACCTTCTGGATGCGTCGTATAAGCGTAAAATCCCTGTGTACATCATTCTGGATATTGCTGCAGTGCCCTGCTTTCTTTCCATGTGTGGCAGAGCTGATATGCACCGGGGGCACCTAAAGGTCTGCATGCACAAACACACACACTATTTTGATGAGGAGCTTGGCTTGGATTAGATGACAAGTCTGGAGTCACATAAATGGAAATAATTATAATTAAAAAAGTTTTGATCACCCAGAGAACATATTCTTAAGAAAATAACTGTTTTTAACAATAAGATCACACTTTTAGATGTACATCACTAATATGAGAGATCAAAGTTCTTTATTGATGTAGAGTTGCAAGCTTTTGCCTGCAGGCATTTAACTTGCACCAGCCAGTCATTCACTTAACCCCTTTGTTATTGTTTGCCTCTGAGTTAAACTGGTTCAGGCACTAACAGAAAATAATTAGCGTTTCACGGAAATTTTCTACGGGTTTTTTTTTTTTTTTTTTTTTTTTAGACTGGAGGCCAGGAAGATGCTGAATACATTCCTGTCTGTGCTGCAGGCAATTACATAAACCACACACAGTCTCAATTTGCTGTTGCTTATAAGTTTCTTTTTCTGTTCCTCTTCTAACTTTCAAACAGCATTATCTGCTTTCTTAACTTTATCTCCCGTCTTAACTTTTCCCTCTTATCTTTCCTTTTTGTTACTGCGAGCTTTTCCAGCTCCTTTCTTTAGCTGCTCCTGAGAGATTTCACACAGAACTCTTGCTCAGCCAGGAACCACACCCTTATCACAGAACCCAAGACAAACACTACAGGGTGTGTCAATGAAGCATGACAGTCCAAGCTCTAACCTGCACAGACATTCAGCATCATGTGGAGGTTATTAAACCTGACTCTTAAGCAACAAGGAAAGGGTTTCTTTTGGGGCTCTCCAGTCTGTTGTTGCCATTATGTTTCCTTTGTGCATTAAAGGCCTTTCTGCAATGAATGCCAAACCCTGTAGAGATGTATAGTGTTAACATTGTATGTGTGTGTGCGTGTGTGCGTGTGTGTGTGTGTGTGTGTGTGTAGAATCTGCGAGTACGCTGCTGTGGAGGCTTGGAATTCTTCACACGATCGGCACAGAAGGTGCATGGTTCCTTGAACGAGAAGTTTCTCCTTGTAGATGGAGACAGAGCCATCTCCGGCTCATACAGGTGAGCAGCCCATGAGTTGGTTCTTTGACACTAACATACTGATAATACTGTGTTAAAGTATTGCAAGACTGCCTTGTAGGACTTTTAAGTCTAACTTTTTTAGACTAAAGGTTTGTCAGATTTTCTTGAGGTTTGAACAGTGTTTTTACATATTATTTTCAATACCTGACCATTTTCAGTGAAATCAAGCCACTTTAAATCTGACCTGAGCATTCAAGCACAAAAGGCTAGTGAAATCCAGAGAGAAACTAGTATGATGTCAACAAATAAAATACACTTTAACTTTTTTTTTAGTTTTATATCATGTTATAATGTTATCCTCTCCTCAAAAACACACCTGCAGTGAGGGTTTGATTCTTTCATGCATGTTTGAGAAATCCTTTTATTTCCATGTCAACCTTTCAGCCATGCAAAACAACCTAGCCCCGTCTTTGAGGGCATCATATCGGAAAGATCAAATATACTATATACAGTGAGGAAAATAAGTATTTGAACACCCTGTGACTTTGCAAGTTCTCCCATTTAGAAATCATGAAGGGGTCTGAAATTTTCATTTTAGGGTCATGTCCACTATGAGAGACAATCTGAAAAAAAAAAAAGAATCTGGAAATCACAATTTATGATTTTTTTTAAATAATTTGTTTGTTACTGCTGCCAATCAGCAAAAAAACTGGCCATCAAAGAGCTGTTGGCTCACCTCTAAACAGTCCACCTCCAGTCCACTTATTATTCTAAATTAGAAGCACCTGTTTGAGGTCGTTAGCTGCATAAAGATTCATGTCCACCTCACACAATCGGTAAGACTCCAACCACTAACATGGCTAAGACCAAAGAGCTGTCCAAAGACACCAGAGACTAAATTACAGACCATCACCAGGCTGGACAGGGCTACGAGGCAATTGGCAAGCAGGTTGGTGAAAAGATCAGCTGTTGGAGCAATTATTAGAAAATGGAAGAAGCTAAACATGAGTGTCAATCTCCTCCGGACTGGGGCTCCATTCAAGATCTCACCTTGTTGCGTATCAATGATCCTAAGAAAGGTGAGGAATCAGCCCATCACTACATGGGAGGAGCTGGTCAATGTCCTGAAGAGAGCAGGTACCTCTGTTTCCAAGGTTACTATGGGTAGTACACGAAGATGTCATGGTTTAAAATCATGCACGGCACAGAAGGTTGCCTTGCTTAAATCATCACACGTCCAGGCCCATCTGAAGTTTGCCCATGACCATGTCATGGGAGAAAGTTATGTGATCAGACGAAATCAAAATAGAACTTTGTTTGGAGGACAAAGAATGATGAGTACCATCCCAAAAACACCATCCCTACTGTGAATCTTGGGGGGTGGAAGCATCATGCTTTGGGGGTATTTTTCTGCACATGGGACAGGACAACTGCACTGTATTAAGGACTGTATTGTAGAGTTTGTATAGGTGAATCGGTCTGATGTCAATATCTGTATTGGTCCCAATATTGAAAGAAATTCCAGATTGGGTATTGGTGACAATATGCCAGATCTATAAGAGCAGATCTATTCTGTTGCAGTTTATTTTTTACGTTTGACCAAGGTAGTCAACCTATTGTTTTTGTCAGTTTCAGTTTCTGTGTTATTTATTTTACATTGGCTGTTCTACTCCTAGTTGCACTGACTGAATAAATTAAAGTTGTGTTTTTACATGTTTGACCAAGCTTGTGAAGCTGTTGGTGTATTGGTGCAGTGTCATTAAATACATTTGTAATTCAGTACATTCGACTGTTTGAAAAAAATCGTTTTAAATCAATTCAGCTGTTTTTCTGTAACTGATCGGTAGCAGCCGATATTAAATATCTGTATTGGGAGTAAACAAATCGGATCCCTGCATCCCTAGAAATTTGGGGGGTTTATATGTGAAAATGTCCAAGGAACCAACTTTAGACGACTGAATCGATTTAACATTTATAAAATGGAAAAAATAACAGCCTCTCTCAATCACAAGACTGAACAATTCTGTCAGTGGTGGCAGATTTGGGTAGACTATGTAAAATCTAAAAGATCTGATTTCATTTTTAGAGACCAAAGTTGATGAAATCTCCTTGGCAATCCACTCTCCTATGATAGCCATACTTCATAATTATTTTATACTATGTTTTTCGTTGGTGTATTCTTTTTTTGTGGTTTGCCTTTTACACTTCTAACTTAATTTTTTCTTTTCTTTTGTTTTGTCTTTCACACTCTTACTCCTTGCTTTATAATTTTTCTCAGGGAAGTGACGTTGCATTTTTGTTTTGACTATTATAATGCAATGGTCCACTTGTCCACCTTATTTCAAATGTTGAAGTTAGTTTTGTGATGTAGAGGCCCTAGGTCATGTAAATGATACTTCCTTGAGAATTAATAAAGATAAAAGAAAATGTCCAAGGAGTAAGAATACTTATGTAAGGTCCTTAGTGAATGATTTGTTAGAACTGTCAGTACTTCACATCATGTCCTCTTTTTTGACTCTCAGTTGACCTGAGAATATGATAAAGGAGTAGAAGGCAAAAACGGTAAAATTCATCAGTTATTGTGAAACCTCTGTACAAGCAAATCACTTTCAGAGATATTGCACCCTGTGTAATGGTTTCACTATCCAATGTTTTCTTTTCAGACTTGTTGCTGCATGATGCATTACACCCGTTATCATCTGATGCCAATTTAAATAAATTAGCCTGAACTTCCTGCATGCCAACACTGAAAACTTAGTCTTTAGTTCTGAGCCGTTCCTGCCTTCTGCATCACCACTGATTCTTCCAGAAAATTTCATCCTAGACAATTATGTAATTTGATCAAAACATAATTGGATGATGTTTGACTTTAGCAAATAGATAAACTACATTACATTATGACCCACGGTGTAGGAATCTGCAGACCAAAGCATGTTCAGTTATCACTGTAACCTTTAATCCAGGGGTGTCAAACTCCAGTCCTCAAGGGCCGCTGTCCTGCAGTTTTTAGATGTGCCACAGGCACAAAACACTGGAATGAAATGGCTTAATTATCTCCTTCTAGTGTAGATCAGTTCTCCAGAGCCTTGCTAACGACCTAATTATTCTATTCAGGTGTGGTGCAGCAGAGGCACATCTGAAAGCTTCAGGGCAGTGGCCCTCCAGGACTGGAGTTTGACACCTGTGCTTTAATCTATGTGTTATTCCAGTTTCACCTGGTCCTCATCCCGTCTGGACCGGAACCTCATCACCGTCATCACAGGGCAGGCAGTGGAGACCTTCGATTTGCAGTTCCGGGATCTCTACCTCATATCCCGGGGAGTGTCCCTGAGCAAGGTTTCCTTGAAGGACGAGCCAATCCCTGACCCACTCCCTCAGGCGGTACCGGCTCCTGTCCCGGCTTCTGTCGCAAGGAAACTCATCAATCCCAAATATGCTTTGGTTGCAGCGGGAAATCACACCAGTCCCACCTCCTCTGACCAGAACTCAAGTAAAAAAGAATCAAACTCCCAGAATCTTGCTGGGCTGAAGGTGATGAAAGGACGTCTTAAAGAAGTTATGGAAGAGGCGCCGTTACATCCGGGCTTAGTCAATCTGGAGAAAGCCAACTTAATCCCCTATCTTCCCACCTGGCCAGAGCCAGACCCCCCCAGTGACGTGATCGGCTTCATCAATATTAGAGATGAAAAGAGGGCGCATCAGGTTCACTTACAGAGGTCAGAAAGGTTCGAGGTTAGTCAGGCTATACGCTTCAGTGCACCACTGACTCAACTAGTGGCAGCTGAGGAATCCACCTCAAATCAGGACAAAAAAGAGCTAAAAACGGAAAAACATAGCAATCCTAAAGGTCCTACTGCTGTAGTTTCAGCAGAAAACAAGCAAACAGAATCTCCAGATTCCCCTCAGCAACCAACCACAACTCCACAACATAAACCACAACTGCCAAAGTCTCCAACCCAAGCCAAAGTTTCTGCTGATTCACAGCCTACACACAGCGCTGAAAAATCTCTAGCTATGGCACATGCAGGACCTCCTGTCCCCAAACGCCGCACGCTGCAGTTAGTCATAGACCCCACTTCAGCAGAGCACCCTGGTGAAGCTCAGGTCACGCTGATGAAAATGGATCAGGTTGATAATCTGCATACAGAGCGCACTCACAAGGAGCTTGTGCCCAACCGCAGCCAGTTAGCTTCAAAGAACGATGGCAGAGACTCGGGCAGCAATGAAGAGGGGAGCCAAGACAGCACTAAGGTCATATGTGACCAAGCAGTCAACGAAGACCCCTCAAGTGCATCGACGGCATCAGAGGAGGAGTTCTATGACTGTCCTCAACAGGAGGCCAGTGACCTGCTGATCAACGGCGGTCAGACTGGATCTGGCAGAGGGCCGTCCCACGGAGACGGACTCAACATGATGGCTCGCTTCTCTCAGAGCATGCTGGACCTGCGGGAACCCCACCAATCAGAGGGAGGCGCTTCCCTCATTCGTCAGTCCCAGCAACTACCCAGACTGCAACATGCTTCCCCACACCGTCACCTTGGACAGGTGAGCACACACTACAGATCTACCCACATGCTAGTCTGTATGAGGTGCTAAAAGAATGAGATGGTCACAGAAAAGAACTAAAATGACCTATGATCATCTTATAAACTCTGTATAGCTTTACTGTGTTTTTGGGTGTGTGTGAGTTTAGGTTCTTCAGTTACCAGTCAAGACAACTTGCTTTGTAGAACTATTTGATCCAGGGCCTTAAAAGCCTAACCCCATGCTCTCTTCCACATTTTCTCAGGTTACAACAGAATTTGTTGTTGTCATGAGATTTTGTGTGAAAGACCCATACAAGGTAGCATAAAACTGTAAAGAGGAAAAATATGATTTACAATATTTAATAAGTACTTTCATTCAGCTCCCATTTCACTTATACCATAAATTAAAATACAGTTAAAGCATTTGCTTTCAGAAGTCAATGGCCTTTATTAATTGATTATATAATCAATTAATAAAGGCCATTGCTCTCTAACTGTGGAGAGTGAAGAGTGCCAAATTCCAATAAATAACTTATGAAATTATTTAAATGTCATTAATTTATTAAAACTGAAAATAAATACACAAATAATGTATTAAATGGATTTATTTCCAGTTATAATAATTTCACACATTTAAATTACAAATTATTTTTGTAATTTCTCACTTTTTGCTCTCCGTATGCAATATAATTTCAAAAATAAAAGTTATACTTTTGCAAAGAAAACAAGTTTCGGTAACACTTTATTTGAAGGGGGTTGAATAAGACTGTCATGACACCGTCATAAACATGACATAACACCTGTCATGAACATGAATAAGCCTCCATGAATATTTATGACTGTTGTCATAAAGCGTCATTCGGTAAATTATGACACTTTTAATACAAAATTGACATTATTCAAAATGTCTTTGTTGTGACAACTTGTCATTAACCAAGAAATCATTACTGATATAAATTTGTTATAAAAGTATAACTGATTGCATTTTAAAAATGAGGTAACTTTATGTTATTAAAGGTAAAGCTTAAACAGTAATGATTTCTTGGTTAATGTCAAGTTGTCATAACAAAGACATTTTGAATAATGTCAATTTTGTATTAAAAGTGTCATAATTTACCAAATGAAGCTTTATGACAACAGTCATAAATATTGATGAAGGCTTATTCATGTTCATGACAGGTGTTATGACATGTTAATGAAAGTGTCATGACAGTCTTATTCAACTCCCTTCAAATAAAGTGTTAGCCAAGTTTCTTGTAAAATGAGGCCAGCAGAGTCTTTTCCATCCACATATAAAAAGTGTGGAAAAACTGACGGCCCACCTAAGAAAATAAGCTAAATGATATAAAAGAACATTCCATAAACCATTTGGATCAATCTGGTGGGAAATATCTATACTGATGTTGCATCAAAATAGAGCAACTGTTCAAACCAGCCTGACTCTATATTGTTTATATAATTAAAATATTTATTATCTGACATAATTATTGATCCAGATTAATACATTTTGAGAAAATGATGAGCCTGTAGCTCTGGAGCCTGCGGTTATAGGCCCCTGCCCTGAACTGACGGGCTCAGACTCATTCAGAGAAGCAGCCCAGAGGCCATAAGAAGACGTGTTTGCTGCAGCTTCATGTCTTCTGCATGATGCTGGGCTAGGAGGGTGAAAAGAGCTGATAAGATAGATGGAGCTAAATCCATGGCAGTTCAGGAAGACAAACTTTTTAGACACTGTAAGACTTGAGACTGGGACTGGGATTCAAGCATATGACCTTAAACATATAGCCAAGGCTTGGATTTAAAGTGCGTTAGAATGGCCTCGTCAAATTCCAAATCCAACTGAGAACCGGTGGCAAAATTTGAAAAGTTCTGTTCAGATTCTCTAAATCCAGTGTGACAGAGATTGAGATATTTAGAAAAGAAGAATGGGCAACATTTCTATCTGTGGAAAAAAGTGGCAAGGAGGTTCCAGCTCTGATGCATCCAAGCGAACACCACACCTTTCAGCTTTTTATTCCTTAATGACTTTCAAACCATGCATCATTCTCACTTTACAAGTGTGCAGTTTTATGTCACAAATAGTGACATAAAATTGTATTAAACACATATAGTGACATGTGAAAGATTTAAATGAGTAGGCATACCTTTGTATGGTGTATATTTTAAGTAAATCTTCAAAAAAGGAAAATTATAGGATGTTAGATTTATGTTTATATATTTTGTGTAATTTAAAATTGAGTAGTTTTCTTGTTTTTTAGTGTGCAATAAAAAAAAATCAAAGCATGCTATCATCAATCCTTTAAAAAATGCTGAAATATATTTTTAAATCTAAAAAAATAATCAATGAATTACAGCTATCCTGCATGACCTTTAACCTCTTCAGGTTAAAGTGATCACTGGGAAAGTCCTGAGCTTCCCCAAAATTGCAATAGACTTGTAAAAAAGGCACATGGACATGCAAGCAGCACACACACACACACACACACACACATACATGCACACACACACCTCTTTTACAAACTGATGTCAAAATCAGTTCATTTCATTTCTGATAGCAAAGCAAGTTTCTACCTGAATAAACGTGAGATGTTTACCTTTGTTTTCTTCATTAAAATCTGTGCCAGCATGTTCAGTGTGTGTGTGTGTGTGTGTGTGTGTGTGAGTGAGTGTGAGTGTGCGCACCTGGATAGAGAGCTCGGCTAATCATACCCGGCAGGATGATGAAGATGAAGGGCAACAACTTTAGATAAGCGGCAAAGATCGACGCTCCCTTCACATGACTCATGTTTTTAGCTGACAGTGATCGTTGTACAATAACCTGGATGTTCAAAGGAAATAAAACGGGAACAAATTATTAGATCAAGACACTAAGTGAACAGATGGGGTGAAATAAGGTGCAATCTCCTTTGAAATAAAATGCAAACCTGTGTTTTTCGGAGACAATTCAGATATTCAAACTTAGGGGAAAAAACACAGAAGTCTTAAACACTAACACAAAATTCTGATAATGCCTACTTTAACTTATAGGTCAACTGCAGAAATGTACATAGAAAAATAATTTGGAATAATCATATAGATAATCATTTCAATGAACCAAGAGTTAATTTTTTCATTATGTCAAGTAAAAATAATGATCCAACTTAAAATAAAATCCCACTTTAAGAAAACAATAGGTTACAAATGGCTTTTGTCATGTCATCCTGCAGCATGTCCTTTAACCAAGGCAGATGTGTGTTAAGTCTTGAACTGTGTACAAGAAACACACCAGTTGCCTACATTTGCCCCTACCAACTGTCAGAACAATGGTTAAGCCATTAAAAGCAACAGGAAACTGTGACAAACAAGAGTCAATTTACACCTCCCACCAGCTGGTGGGTGTCCCTGAAATCCCAATCCCATTTTCACCCCCTGCTCCATGTGTGGATACGCAAACATCAGCATTTGACTCGGGCAGCGCAAATGTGCTGTTGTTAGTTGTCGTTATGCTATCACCCTTTTCCAGCAGTTTTTTCCCCCCACAGTGAACAGGGAGGGATTAAAAAATATTCTCTGAAGTTTACAATTAGAAAACTACTTTAAGTTTATTACTGATTTTGTCAATGCATTAAAAGATTACATGTTTTCCACATTTTACTGAGGTTCGTAATAATCATGTAAGAAGTTAAAATTAGAATTTATAGTTTACACTTTACACATCTACAATGAGATTAAAGACAGTTTCACTTGTAGCAATAATTTCATGTTCTTAGCAAGTGTTCCTGCTTGCTAAAATGTTAGATTGTGTTATAAGAGGATTTGAGCAGTTTTCAAGCTAGTTTTTTATTTTAGACGCAAGACAGTTTTGAAGTCAGAGTAGCACCCAGGAGCAAAAGAATTGGTAAAAAAAGATCATCTGTGTGACTTTTGTAAATACCTAAAGCATAAATGACTGGCTACATTTGTTCTGTCATGTTTGAGATTTTTAATGGATATGGCTGCTCCATTTTTGTGTTTTTTTTTTTTTTTGTAGTTTGTTTTTATTTAGACATCTTGGACACCTAAAAATTAAGGCAATTGACACATTTAAAAGATATATTTTTAAATGTATCTGTTAAAAATAAACCATTTTTACACAATGTACATTAATGATTTTGGTAAGCAGTCATTTTGACATTAACAGTGACAGAGGTGAGCAAAGGGAGTTTATTGTATCTCTCTAGACATAGTTTATTTGCACGTCGTATTATGGTTTAGCTTGTGGAGCAGCGAGGTAAAAAGATGAAATAAAAATGTGACTGGCTTCCTATTCCTTTTTGTACTTATAGAAACTGTTCTTAGCAGTTTTTATTTTCAGTTTGTGTCTGATAAGATTGTTGGTGTGTTCTCTACTCTGTTCAAGAGATGACAAACTGCAGTGAGAGAGAAATATTTTTGAGTTTACTCCAATTACTTTGGTCCAGACACTGTGAAATAAAACACTGATAAAGAGCATAGACAATGATGTGGAAAGCTGAAGAGGGTTGAAATGGTGAGAAATTCTGCAGTTATTGCATACAGAAATATTATTCTTTAAACAAATAAACCATTTCTGCAATAGTGTAGTTTCACAGTGGAAAAAAGTTGCAGACCTCTAGCTGGGAGCATTGGAGACTTTTTTTCTTTTGCCATTTTCCCCACCAAGTTTGGTGGCTAAATAAATCAGTCAGCTTTGTTTGACACACTTTTAGAGTTTTAAGTAGGTAGTTATTTTTTATAGCTTATTTTGTGTAGATTCCTAAATAATGAAGCCATAAGCTTGACGCTCTCCATATTTCACTTTTGGTCCACTTGATGACAAAGCAACAAAAAACAGACTGGATCCTCTTAAAGTTAAACGGTTTACTTCAAAAATAAAAATGAAACAAATGTTACTTATCCACAAAAAGAATAAAGAATAAAACGAAAGAGGTCAAAAAATTGTGTGGCTCCACTCAGGGGCGCAACTACATATTATTCAGGTGGATGTGAAAACATAAATCGCCCCTGCCCCCCCCGAGACGAAGACGCGTGAAAGGTAGAACTCGCTACATTTACGTGTACGAGGTGAAGGAGCGTAAGGGCGCGGAGAAGTGTATGCGAAGGCGTCATTGGGGCGCCGCCCCCTCCAGACGGGGATTTGACGCCCCCTCTGGTGCAGCGCCCCTATGCGTTGCATGAACTGCATACCCACTTTTTGCGCCACTGGCTCCACTCCAACTGCGCATCTAGCCACACCTTTAAAATCTTTAACTGCAGTTACATATGCACATTTACTGGAGGGCTTTAGCATAGTCTATTGCACATTACATTAGACCAGTGGTGCCCAAAGTCGGTTCTGGAGGTCTGGCATCCTGCATGTTTTAGTTCACTCCCTGGTTTTACACACCTGGATCCAATGGTGGCTCATTAGAGGTCTAAGAAGAACATTGACTTGCTGAGGAGGTTGTTACTACCACTAGGGAGAGAATAAAACATGCAGGATACCGGACCCCTGCATTACACTATGCTAATGCAATGTGCTGTGCATTTAAAAAAAACAACAACAAAAAACTCTAAAGGGTACTGGGGGCATCAAGGATAAAAGGGGCAGTGACTCAAGCCCCCCCTGCACGTGTCTGGGCCTTAAATTCTCTAATACACTACTCAAAAAAATAAAGGGAACACTCAAATAACACATCCTAGATCTGAATGAATGAAATATTCTCATTGAATACTTTGTTCTGTACAAAGTTGAATGTGCTGACAACAAAATCACACAAAAATCATCAATGGAAGTCAAATTTATTAACCAATAGAGGCCTGGATTTGGAGCCACACACAAAATTAAAGTGAAATGTTCCCTTTATTTTTTTGAGCAGTATATAAAATTTGTATCCACGAGGGATTTAGTTGGTAATCATTTTTATCTTAATGAACAAATTATCATAAGAAATATAAACTTAGTTTATCCAAAAAGTCTGAATGAACTAAAACTGAATTTAGGCTTCTATATTTTGTTTTCCAGCTTATAAAGAAAATAGAAAGTCATTCACTACAAATTAAAAGTTTATAAACACTGACTAACTCTAGAAAAGCTAAAAAAATGCTTCAGTGACATTTATTTCAAAGGAGTTTATTTATGTACACAAATTAAAGGTATTTTTGTGGCTTCAATAAAATGGTTTGTTTTAAGAGTTGCATATATTTTGAAAGGATGCTAAGTAAAGTGAAGCAGTCTGTAAGGTTTATTAAGGGGAGCTTTGATTAGTAGAACATAAAAAATATCTTGGAGTTAAGTTACTTTCTGATATGCCTTTATATTGTTATACAATTCCAACCTAATTTGAAATCACTGAAAAAAATAACTAATAAAATGCTTAAATACTTGTTTATGAAAACTGAATACATAACACCTTGTGGTACTCAGTCGGTCACTCATCTCTGTGTATTCTGTCTCTGCTTCTGTTTCAGACCTCAAGGTCTCCAGCTCGTGATGCGAGGATCAGGGGACCCAAAGTTATCCTTGCAAAACCAGGAAGTTTCCACCGCCCTCCCCGGACCGCTGGGCTCGTGATCGGAGGACACCGTTACTGGCAGGGGCAGTTGGTGCCGCCCGACTTGGGCCAGCTGCAGGTAGAGCCCCGCTCTGGGAGGTCGCCACGGAGACGCAGCCCCGGATACAGGAAGACATCGCCTCAGCCAACAGCCGACCAAATGGGGTTGTTTGGAGTGTCTCTGTCAAAACTCAGCTCCTTTAGAAATTTGAAAGGGCGAGCAGGAACCTCTCAGAAAAAAGCGTCTCAGACTAATAAAGCTGCTAGGTAGAGCAGTGGCTCAGAACAGACCAGAGTTTGCTGACAAAACTTCCAGTTTAGAAACTCGAAACTTCAGGCTGGACTCGTCGCTGTCATCTCCATTTTAAGACCTACAACACAGTCTAGGCCTGTCGCGATAAACAAATCAATTAATTGCACGATAAATTAAAATGAGCTCGATAATAAAATGAGGACAGTACTATTGCTCGTTTGTTTTCGTCGTCTCTCTCTTTCGACCTGAGACTGGATGATAGAAAGCTCAATTCTGGTGCCTCGAGTTACTCCTCCCCTCCCGTTTCCTTGGTAACGGCTAAACACACAGGGAGCTAAAAGCCTCAGTCTTCCTCCATTCAGGCTGAATCCAACACAAGGGACAGATAGTGAAAATGACAGTTTTCAACTTTCTTGTGTAGCGCTGCTAGCCTGCGTGTGCACCTCTGCGTGTGCGAGCTAGAAATTTCACATGAATGAATTGTGCTGTTCGCTCATCGGGATAAGTACAAGCATCTGTCGCCTCGCTGCACAAACTCCATAGAAATAAATGGAGAGGGAGCAGCGATATCTCCAGTCGTCACTGTGTGACCATTACCTCAGTTACCTGCCGGGCTCCTGGTCTCCTACCACAGAGCGTAGCAGAAAGCCCAGTGAGGAGGAGCGAGCTGGGAAAACGCTGGTTTAATAGCTGAACGTGACAGCTGCAGTCTGAGAGCGCTTCGGATTCAAACTGGATGACCGTGGAGAACCACTGAACCTGTGGAGCCGCTTCATACTCCTCTCTTCCCTGCCATCAATTGGAGGATCTGAATGTGAACAGTGCCTAATGCAGACCCCTTCCACTCCCCTCACATTTTTTTATATTTGAAAGGTCTTGCAGTTCCAGTGTTAAATGGTCTTTTGAAATGAGTTTGACCCCTTAGAGGGTATATTTGCATTGTTGGACAATTTTTATGCTATTGGTTAACAATCGTCTCAAAATGACAATATTATAGTTTATCACAATAATTTCTGAAACAATCATCTAGCAAAATTTGTTATTGTGACAGGCCTACGCACAAGAACTATCTATGGTAAGAATACATCTCTGTGAGGAAGAATATTGGGTAGTGACAAATCAGTTCATATTTGTGTCAACAGAAATGCAAATGTACCACAGATAATTTGTGTTGACCAAAAGACTGAAATGTTTTCTCCATGTAGTACTACATCCAGTGAGCTCCAGCATTCTTCTCTGCCTAACCAGGCACTTCAGTTCCCCCCATAGCATGTTGAGCTTGGACTTATCTCAGTTGCTTTTCTTTTCCCTTATGTTTGTTCATATCAAACATGAACAGATGAAATGTGTCTACTTCTGGAAACAAATCAGCCTTTAGCACTGACAGCACTATGCTTGGTTACACAAGGTTATGTTGATTACTTTTACATATTTGACAAAGGTTGTTGATAACCTGTGTAGATGTAGATGTAATGTCAAGTACTGTTACGGGACCAAAAATTAATGTTTTAAATAAAAGGAGAGACTGTTGCTTGGTCAACTGTTGACTCAACCAGCCAGAATCCAACTGAAGAAGACAGTTTAAATGTTTCAAGATGGGTTATTCAAGTGTTTGAGATGCTATTTTATGCTTGAATAGCTTCACTGATAGACCAGCTGCACAAACATGCATATAATAATCTTTTCCAGCATCCCATCAGATTGTTTTTTTGCAGAAAAAATTTTAAGTCCTGAGCCTAATATTGAAGTTTGTGATTGTAACATGACAGTGTTCAGGTATTCAAGTTTGAGTCAATACAAGCATCCATGGATTATGGAGGTCTACACGTTCATGTCTGTACTTCTTGGAGGACAGATAAAACAGCTGTGCGTTTTTCAGAGGTAACAGTTACTGAACATAGAATAAGAATATTCTCACTAAAATGGAAGAGTGAGCTTCTTCGGTCTGTTTTGCCTCCACTAGAAGAATGACTTTTTTCAAATTTCTCAACTTGATGACTTCTAAGGGTCCACCAAAAGGCCCTGAGGAAGACATTTCTTCACAATGTTTGAATTTCTTTAAAATAGTTTAGCCTGACTCACTAGCTTGTCAAGTGGATCAACCAAGTTAATTAAAATCAAAATTCACCGTCAACCAAAAAAGCCTCTTGGTTCTACAATACATCAAACTTAGAGTCTTTCTACATGAGCTGAACCAAGCAGTAAAATCTTTGGAGCATTCAGAAAAAAAAAATCTCAAACCATGTGGTCTCTTGGTTAAAATTTCCTTAATCACATAATACACTGTTACAGCTTACAATATTTAATAAATGAAAACCTAATTTCAGCTCTGTATGTACTTGGCATGTACCTGGTCTGTGCACCAGTACCAGGTGGCTAGTATGGTGAGCCCTAGTGTCATGCCTGGCCATGGCAGGTCTCCGGTGACGGCGTCTCTGAACAGGTGCATGGCGTCGGCCCGTGGCAGATGGCAGGTACTGTTGGGGATAATTTTACTTGGGACCGCGATGCTGTAAACTTGCTCCAGATTGTTGTAGCCACCTATCTTGTTAAAAGCTACACACACACACACACACACACACACACACACACACACACACACACACATTAAAACTCAATACTTGGGTATTGTTGTAATATGCTGAAGTTGTCCTGAAACATTTATTATGTTTTTCTTCGTTTTCAGTCCAGTCCTTTTATCTGGCCATACCATGTTGCTCAGGGTGAGACCCAACCAGTAGCCCTTCATGAATCACCATGTGGTCCTAATGCTATGTTCCAACTATCAAGCTGTGTCAGTGTTTATCTTTTTTTTATATACAGAACTAGATCAGGGGCTCTGCAGTACTGTACCACTTCAGGAAGCTCTCCAAGTATCACCATATCTCACTGGTGCACCATAAGGAGTCACTGGTTGTACTGAAGCCTGTATTGGACCTCACTGGTCCTTTGGAAATGTACAGTTACTGGACTGGAAATGAGTGAAAACACAGATTAAAGAAAAATGTTGAAGCATCCTTGTAATGCCTCAAAGACATGTTCATTAAGCTCACTTCAACACACCACAGGATCACCATTCTACCTGAATACAAAGCCTGGAGAAAATGGCATTTAGACAACACTGTATATGTTTATGTATTTTTTAGATGGAATTTGCCTTGAAATGATACAATTTGCCCATACCAGTAATTGTTAGGATGATTGCACCGATGATCATGATAAATGTCTGTAAAGTGTCTGTGTAGATGACAGCAGCCAGTCCACCTGGTTAAAGGGAAGGGAGGAACATTTTCACCAGTCATTTGTTTTCAGATGTCTTCCAAATGACTTTGTAGTAACTATTACAGTCAAAAACAAATCTGTTAACAACAAATGAATATAATTATTATTAATTACATCATCAGAGGCATAAAAAAAACACTTGTGCATGTCATATTTTGGATCTAAAACCTAAAAAGCAAAAATCAAAATGCAATAGATGCAGTTTTACGATTGTGTCTACCTGCTATGGTGTAGAGAGCAGTGACCACCAGCATGAGGACAGTGGACAGATAGAGGTTCCATCCCAGGCACACCTGGACAAACAGGGCTCCAGAGTACAAGTCAGTCTGGCCGAGCAAACAAAACACATTTTTAATGCAGGCAGTAAAAGTTCATTTTGAATTTTTTTGTTGTTATTTTTAGCTCTGGTGTTGTTGCACTTTTCCTCTTGTCACTTTGTTCCTGCTGTACCGATATCTTGGTGAAGACGGACAGCAGGAGTGAGAGGACAGCGAGGTATGTTCGGATCCGTTCCCCTCCAAAACGACGCCCCAGATACTCTGGCATTGTCACGATCTGAAAACACACATTTTCACATTTTTAAAGGTCCCACAATCAGTGACAGTTTCTGATATGGGTGACATGGGCCACCACCCTGAGCAGCATCTTGTGGGGGTGGAGTCCTAACCTGTGGTCACTCTAGCTTTAATAACATAAAGCTACATAATTTTTAAAGTGTAATCAGTAATACTTTTATAACAAATTTATGCCAGATTATGATTTCTTGGTTAATGTCAAATTGTCATAATGAAGACATTTGTCAACTTTGTATTAAAAGTGTCATGATTTACCAAATGACGCTTTATGACAACAGTCATAAATATTCATGAAGACTTATTCATGTTCATGACAGTCTTATTCACAACCTGTCAAATAAAATGTTTCCGTCTCATTGAGCAAATAAAACATGCATGGTAGTGGAAACCTAACAAGACAGGGTCATCTACCAAAACTGACAGGAGAAAATCTGTTAGACAGCAAAAGACTCGAGACAAAACGCAGAGGTTCACCTTCCAACAGGACTATGTCCCTAAACATAGTCCTGGTCAAAGTCCAGATGGAAAAGCAATTGAGAATCTGTGGTGAGACTCTTGTTCACAGATTAGATGTGTAAATCTGATAGAGACAAAGGAATCGGCAAAATCCCCTTTTTGCTGATGACAGCAAAAAGGGGTTTTACAGAGTATTTAACCACATGAAAGCTTTGTAGCTTGAGAAATTTTGGGGAAAAAAAAAGTATGTGAATACTTCAGTTATTAAATATCAGTATGATGATTGCTGACAGCAGACAAGCTTAATGAGTTCACATTACTTAAACTGAATGTACAACATTGAGGTATAGAGTAACCTTTGACATTTGTTTTGAAATAGTAGCTGTGAGTGGAACACCCTGTTAAAGAATTTATAAGGTGGGGAATCCTTGTTTGAAAAAATGTTTTGGCACCTAAATGCACCTGCAGAACTAGCCTTGACAAGAAAACACACGTGTGTGTGTGTGTGTGTGTGTGTGTGTGTGCGTGCGTGCGCGCACGTGCACGCGTGTGTGTGTGTAAACTAACCCCAGAGGAGATGTAGACAGGTACAAATATCCAAGCGAGTGCCAGCAGCACATAAGTTGCCTGAGATTGGGCAAACAAAAGAAATGATTTTGAGCAGATTGTAAAAAAAAAACAACACCACATGATTAAAATCTGCTATGAGCACTTTAGAAGAAGACAACAATTTCATGTCTGCAAGGCCGGACTGGGCTGGGTTGGGTTAGGTTGAGGCATGAAAAAAACTGACAGGATACAGCGCAGGCATCCTACCAGTTTTAAACATGTCTTTGTTCTAACAGCTGCTCAAATGGAGCAACTGCCTCCTCAGCATGCCATGAAGTTCTGCATTTGATTCTGGTGTGTGGAGCCAGGAAACACGCTAAAACATGCAGGAGACTGGCCCTTGAGGCCTGACTTTGGACATCGCTGAGTTAAAGGGTCGCAATGCTGCCACTGCTGTTTGCTGCATGTTACACCAAACCTGAAGGTGATTTAATATTTCAAGTCCTCGGAAAGAATGGATACAAAAGCTGCAAATCCAGATCTTTTGTTTGCAAACACAAAGGGGAGATTAGTTTTTGTGCTCTGTCTTTATCTTTTTTTAAAACCATTAAATGACAAAAGAAATAAGAGATATCAGCAGGCCGGATGTGTTTCATTCCAAGTTGTAAAGTGTCTGGTCACCGGACCGATACGGATGGATCCTGTGCTCTTTACTCACGTTCCATTCAAATCCAGCGACAGCGATTCCGCCAGCGGCCCCAGTCCCAGCCAGGCCGATGAACAGACCCGAACCCTCTGAGCTGGCGAAAAGAGACGAGCCAATCTGTGCACCAAGCAAATATGTATTTAAAATAATATTATTAAAGTTAATTTGTTACACAAACAACGGATTTTCTAAGATCCTAACAACTTTGCATAAAAATAAATATCTTAGCTGTGCTTTTATTTATAGAATACTGTCTGACCCCTATATGGAGGTTCATTTTAAACCTTATTTACAACAAATCCTAATACAGGGCATAGATAACTGTGGAATAGTTATATCTAAATTGTAATTCCGTCTATGGCTCTGAAAAATGTTAAAGATAGAATCACAAATGATTGAGTATGATGTTTGCCACTGTTGTATTTTGGTTGGCACTACTTTATGAAGCGGAAGGTTACGCGCTTATAAAAACAATCAAGGCGGAGCCTCCTTCTCTCTGTGTTGAGGTCTTGTGCGAAATTCTGTTCCCCTGTGAAAATCAGCTGAGTGAAGCTGACACCCCACAAACCACTCAGACTATTTGCTGGATTTTCTTTTGACGTGGGTGGGGTGTCAGCTTCACAGAGCTGTGAAAGCTGTTCTCCTAGTGTCGGGAGCGTGGATTGCAGCCAGAGAGGCAGATATGGCGGATATGACCATTTTCACGACACTTCTGATCGATTTCAGTGTAAAAATAACTAATATAATCATGTCAAGGTTGTAACATTCAGTTTAATCAGCTGCTGTTTAAAAAAGAAGCAATAACAAAATCGTAAAGTAAATAAATAAACGAGGTCTTGTGTGGACGTCTTCTTACCCTCTTTTGTGTTGTTTTTTCATTGCCAAGAGAATCGGTCTTTTTCCTACTTTTGTCACTCAAGCCTGACAAAAAATTAAGTCAACAAACACAGTTTTCCAACACATTGTGTGAATTTATAATACTATCACACATAACAGTCATTGAGAATTTCAAAATGGTTGCTCTTTATTTGCCAAAGCAATGAGGAGTACAGGGATATTTCAGCAACCAAATAATCTGTTCCCCCTCCGTCTATAGGAACAAATTAATTTACCAACAAGTCTTTAACTGTGCTTATTCCTCTAATTATCAACAAGAAATCCTGTGATTTTGGTAATATTTGCTCTTTATTTGCCAAAGTTATGAGGGGGGAACCATATATTTTAGCCACCCATGGGTCATTATTATTATGAAGCTCCAGTTATTATTTCCAATGTCTCTGTAACTGGTGTCGCCCTGTCGGATCATTTTGCTGTTATCTTTGAATGTTCTTTATCCGTTAACCCACTTGGACAAACAGCTACTATCACAAAACTTTCACAGAAAACACAGCAGAAACATTTAATCAAATCTACTCCTCTTCCTTGTCCTTAAGCTATAATGACATAGATAAGTTGGTAGATGATTTTCAGTGCAAACTTTCAGATATCATTGAATACATTGTCCCCATTAAAGTGAAGGTTGTGTCTGGTAGGAAGAAATCTCCATGGAAAAATGCACAAGCAGTTCTATGTGCAAGACAACTCTGCCGTAGGGCCGAACGGAAATGGCGTAAAACTCAACTGCACGTTTATTATGACATCTACAAAGAAAGGCTACGTAACTATCACTCAACACTAAAACATGTAAGAGAGGCTTTCTTTGCAGATGTCATAAACAAAAACATTAACAATGCTCAAGCTTTATTTGCTACTGTTGACAGGCTCACAAACCCTCCTATGATGTTACCACCTGAATTTCAATCTAATGCCGCCAGCTTCTTTTCAGAGAAAATTCAAAAGATCAGAGGATTAATCTGCACATCCACTCCAAAGCCAGTACCAATGCTGTGCTCAAATAAAACAAATGCAGGAAAAATGACCCAATTTCAACTACTTCATTATAAAACCCTAGAAGAAATTATAAGTCAGTGAAGCTCCAGTTCCGGTTGTCTGGATGTCCTACCCACACATTTCTTTAAGAAAGTCCTGCCTGTCGTTGCTAATGATCTGATCCAAATAGTAACTCATCGCTCTCTTCAGGTGTTTTCCTCCATGCTTTGAAAACAGCAGTTATCAAACCACTGATAAAAAAGAACAATCTGGACAAATCACTGCTGCAGAATTACAGGCCGATCTCCAACCTCCCATTCATCAGCAAAGTTATTGAAAAAGCTGTTTTTAAACAAATAACTTCCTAACAATAATGAATCGCTTTGACTCCTTCCAGTCTGGTTTTCGTGCTCACCACAGCACGGAGACGGCCCTTGTAAAAGTGTTCAATGATATCCATATAAATACAGACTGTGGGAGAACCACAGTGCTGGTTCTGTTGGACCTCAGTGCTGACCAGGACATTTTACTGAATCGACTGGAGAGTTGGGTCGGACTCTCCGGTCCAGTGCTCCACTGGTTTGAATCTTACATAAAGAACAGGGATTTCTTTGTTTCAATCAGAAACTTCTCATCAGAGAGGTCAAAGGTCACATGTGGGGTACCCCAAGGTTCAATCCTAGGATCCCTCTTATTCAATATCTATATGCTAGCTCAGATTATAACAGGAAATAAGATTAGCTACCACTATGCGGATGATACACAGCTCTATATCACGATG